TTTGCAGCTGTTTGAGCTAAGATTTTCAAGTTATTCACATAATGAAAACCTATACTTTGTTTCGGGCGAGTTCCCCATTCAACTGCATGGGAAACGCACTGTCTTGACGAAATAAAGCCTTTTTGTACAACTTCATATAAATAGCTGTACGTTTTGATAGAAGACTCTGTTAGAGAGTTATCTCTAGGATGCTGGGATGATAGCTCCCTCAGGACTTAAACTCCGGTCAGAGAGTGGTGCATAGAGAGTGGTGTCCGGATATACTTTAATGGAAGTTAACAGCAGCTCAACAGTACAGCAGTAGGCATACTTAACGAATGTGGGACGGGTGGACAGACGTGTGCGTTCCTGTGCAAATGTGAGTCAAAATCCCTCCATTTCTACGAGTCCATTTCCACTTATAGCACGGGTTGTACTTTGACGTTAATTACAGGGGGTTTATGCTAGGAGATTTATCGAGATGGATAGAGGCATGTGACTTACCACCGTAGCATTTGTTGCGGGTTGGATCTGTGCACCGCAGTTGGGTTATTTAGCCACTAGAGGGCACTGAAGACCATATAATTGCTGACCTTTCCTAATTTGGGGGCATTAGGTCTTTTCTGTGTCCTGAGATATGCAGATATTCTTGTTTCCTGTCTGTTCAAATGGGATTGTGGGACTTTCTTATGTCAGAGCATTCAGCTGATTATTTGTGTTACAGTTCATTATATTGGCATGATGTTGGGAAGTGTCGATTGTTATATTTAAATGTGAAAATAGTTTCTCCTTGTTTCTTGTTATTCAGAACCACATGTCTGTCCACCCCTCCCACATTCATTAAGTATGCCTACTGCTGTACTGTTGAGCTGCTGTTAACTTCCATTAAAGTATATCTGGACATCACTCTCTGTAACCCAGAGAGAGTGAGTGCCTCAGGACTTAAACCGGAGTTTAAGTCCCGAGGGAGCTATCATCCCAGCATCCCAGAGATAACTCTCTAACAGACTCAGACACACATACTTATGGCTTTATCTTATAGAATTCAATATCCATGTGCTGGGCAAACAGGTTTTGCAGCTGTGTGAGCTAAGATTTTCAAGTTATTCACAAAATGAAAACCTATACTTTGTTTCCGGCGAGAACTCCATTCAAATGCATGTAATAGTCAGAAACGCACTGTCTTGGCGACATAAAGCCTTTTTGTACAATTTCATGAAGTTAGCTGTAACTTTTGATAGAAGACTCAGACACACATATTTATGGATTTATCTTATAGAATTCAATATCCCCGTGCTGGGCAAACATGTTTTGCAGCTGTTTAAGCTAAGATTTTCAAGTTATTCACAAAATGAAAACCTATACTTTGTTTCGGGCGAGAACTCCATTCAAATGCATGTAATAGTCAGAGTCTTCTAACTTTTGATAGAAGACTCAGATACAGTAGCGGTTATTGATATGGTCGACACAGGTGGTTGCCTGGTGCGGCATCATGGTGGGGGGCCGCATCACGGGCATCGGAAAAAAAAAAATTTGCTCGTACTCATGCTGCCCCGACGTCATGCCAGCGCATACTGGGGATGGCATAGGCACCGATCGGTTTTCTATCGCCCATTTGCTGGGAGTAAGGGC